ATGATGTTGTATGGCCAAATGATTGACAGATCTAAGCAGCCTATGACAATAACTTTCAAACAAGTGGCTGGACTTGATATTTTTACCCCTGCCTTTTTTATTTAAAAAGAAAGGAGTCAAAACACACAAGAAAAGATTTTATGTAATTCAATAACATCTTTAAATATTACAAATATAAACTTTGAAAAACTAACTAAATCCGACTCAAAGGTAGCTTTTAAGTATCATAAAAGCTACCTTCATAAACATATTTTTTATTGTGATGGTGGATCACCTAAAATTTTAGTAAATCAGTTTGGCACATATTGGCACAAAGTTTCCCAAAAAAGATCGAATGGCACTAGTTTATATAAAAGGGCAACAGATTCAAAACTATAACTATACCTAGAGGTCTGAAACTTCAGACAGTTGATGCTAATAAAAAATGACCATCAGATTTGAATATTGTGAGCTTACAATAAAGTGTAAAAATATGGCTTTGTCAGAGTTTTTATAAATTCAATATTCTAGGCAAGGCTAAAAATAACAAACAACAGGTTTTCCCAAACTTCAAAGGATGCAGAGTGAAATAGGAATGACACATATTAGAGTGTATTGTTACATAAACTAGAAGGCTCTAGCTTTAAAATGATGCATAACACAAGCAGGTGATGTGTAAGATGTAATTCTAAACATGCAACGATATTTGGGTATGCCCAACTTCTGGGCACAAGCCAAAATGAGGGTGTTATGAGGTAAGCTAAGAGTGCTTTCGATAGCCCCATAGATAAACAGGAATAATTGGATATTCAATGGAGTTCAATTCTATGAACCTGAAGTACTCTTTACTCAATATGCCTCTTTACTCTTTCTTACAGCAAGAAAGATTGATTGATTTTATTGACCAATTCTTTTCATTGATTAATCCTCTGGACCAATGAAATGCATCAGTATATCACAAGGATGAGAATTCCAACTTTTTCCCGCTGAAAATCTCATTTCTGTGAAATGTTTGACCGCAGGCTGTTTGTGTTACATTCTCGAACAGGATCCTCCTTTCTGACCCCGGGAGCCGCTTTGTACCAAGTGCCGCAGCTCAGCAAACACGCAGCCATAACGGGGTCATGTACCGAGAGCGGGCCGTAGACATGCGGACAGAACCATAGACAAGCGATCAGGTAGCCTGGTCGTACCACCCCATAGTACAAATTACATTTCGTACTAAGGTCTGCATGTGCTCCTTTGAGCTCTGTTAACAGGTGGGAGGGGTTACGTATGTAATGCGCCCGAGTGAGTCGTTAGCATTTAGCTTTTAGCCTAGCCATCTCCTTTGCCGCTACAGAGGCCGTGGGGAGTAGCGCCACAATCTTTGCCAGCAATGACTTTTGCTATACATTCCACATAGTTAGTGCCACTTTATTGCCAAATTCTTTTTGACTTATTGTATTGAGAAACATGTGTTATTCTCACATTATTTTTGGTCGTTTTATTACCTTTCCTGTGTGGAACTTGTATAATTTTTTGAATTATTGAACTGAAGGATTATAATAATACACTGCATTTTATTGACAGCCACAGGTGTCAGCTCTCAAATTCTTTATACATTATGTTTCTATCTGCTACAGAGACTCTAAAACTTCAGGTTTTAGAGGGTGGTTCTAAAGTCGGCCATAGGTTTTACAGGTCTATTTTACCAGGTGTGTCAGGCCTTAATGGGTTAAAGAAGTGTCACGTCATACCAAGATTTGAAAATCTCACAGAGCAGAAACAAGGTCGTTCATTCTAAACTATGAAATCAAGCGAGCAGAGAACTGGTCAGAAAGGCCATGGGACATTCAAAAAATAAATTTCCATATTTATTTTGCGAGTCAAAACGCTCCTTTTGTCTATGTCACGTGACACAGTAGCCTTGAAATGTAAATAAAAGTCCTTGCAGCTCATGGAGGTTGAAATGTAAACGAACGTCCCTCCACTGCATGCGCGTTCTGCAGAGGCTAATTGAGGCTAGGCTAATGCTAAGTTTCCTCACAGTAAGAAAAAAGAACATTCCTACTCACGCTGTTGATAAACTGTATTCTGGCGATTGTTTTGCAGAGGAGTCTGTGTGTTTTGCATATTATATTTGATGCTTGTGGCCTTGATACGTTTTGTTGAAACTTGTGGACATCGTAGTTGGATGTTCGGAACAGAATTCTGCCATGTTCTAAATGCTGTCAGTGTGAAGAAAAATGTATTGTGCAGGCGTGGATCATGTTTTTGTGTACAAAACTACAGGAGGCATATCACAGGGAGGGGGTGGCCTTAAAAATGTTGGAGATCGCTGCCCTAGATGAGCTGCAAAGTACTACTGCTGAGCTGGGGAATTTGTACATGTGACAACTATCAGTCGTACAAAAACCTGGCCTTTATGGACGAGTAGCAAGAAGAAAGCCATTATTGAAAGGAGGCCATAAGAAATCCCATTTCAAGTCTGCCAGAAGCCATATGGGGGACACAGCAACCATGTGGCAGAAGGTGAGACAACAATCTTTTTGCCAAAACACAAAACGTTTTATATATGGCGGACACCTAGCACTGCTCATTGTCCCGGGGAGTGCAGCATCCCCAGTGTCAAATATGAGCCAAATACAGGAACATTGAGTCAGCAAAGAGAATTGATCATGCAGGACAAAACCTGATACATAAAGTTAAAAAGAAAATAGAATGTTTTTAAACAAAACACATTAATGTGTTAGAATGGCCCAGTCAAAGTACGGACGTAAATTTAAAAAATCTGCTAAAAACCTAAAAACTGCTGGAATGGGATAAACTTTCTGTCTCTGGAAGTGCCAATCTTGTATGGTCATATGCCAAAAGATGATTTCAATTGCATAGAAGTACCATCAATGCATCTTCACACAAAGAAGCGGAAAATAAATATAATATGAGAAAAGTGGTGGAACAGGGCGTTCTAGACGACTTGAGCTGTCCCTTACCCTGCTACCACTGGCCTAGTCCAGCACTGAGCCAGCTGACTCTTTTGCCACAAAGAGGGATGGAATAAGAGAGGCCGCCAGCGCTCTGCCACCCACATGAAATAACAAACCAGAGCGCTGGCATTTCCACATTGATATGGGGGAAACAAAAACAGACACAGGCTTTCGCTCTGCGCCCACGTGCATCACAGCTAGAAACGCAAACATGCCTCCAAAAGAGAGTGGAGGAGATGGGTCGATATGCTGGCGGCACATATCAAAACGAGAAACACATAATTACATCCACAGGGGGAAGAAATGGGATGAAGCACGCAAAGTATAATCCTGGATGCCTTTGATGTGGAATCAAGAGAGATTATTTAAATCAGATTTTCGGAATGTTGTGTTGTCAATTTGACTGTTGTGTATGTAAACATGTTTATGTAGGTACAACAACTTTAAACCAATAAAGACATTTGATTATAGGCAATTTAATAGAGGTGCTGAATGAAATGTGAATGTGTTTGACTTAACCCTTTGTGTTTTTTTCCCTCCAAAATTAGGTGTGAAACAAACAAAAGGTGGAGCCCTGAAACTGCATAAGAGATAGAGGACAACCAATGTAGGGAAACATTTGTGGTACGCCTAGTTGTTGTATAGAAAATTACCCAAATTCATCTACGAATGGGTACACAATGCAACAACCTTATTGGTTCAATTACATTTGAGTATGTCCCCTGCACATTGAAATAAAGACATGCCTCCATAACGTTGACCAACAGAAGGAGATGGGGCGATGCATTTGCCAAAATACGCTCCAAATAATTAGCTCTGGAGGAGTGCAGCTATGTGACTAAAAGAGTCTGCAGGAGAGAGCAGCAACAGGGAAGAAAGCCAAAGAGGAAGGACATTACCACAGAGGAGGATAGTAAACATAAAATCAGAAGGATTAAGCATAGCAGACATGCGCAGCAAGCAAAAGAAGAGAAAGGATATGGGTCGGTGTAATTACAAGGGGAAAGGGAGAGAAAGAAGGGCACCGGAAATGAAGCAGAGAGGAGCACTCAGGAGAACAAACAGAGACGGGGGACGCGAACACTGTGAGGGAGAGGGATGAGTTATAGCCAAGTGGCGGATTGGAAGCAAGCGGTTATTCAGATGCATTGCCACCGCTCATGAGCCATCTTTCATCTGTGAAGGATTGCTTTGCACAAATTAAGGATTGGTTTATGCCTTACACATAGGCATGATGTTGTTTTCTATAAAAGGCAGTTTCATTCAGATGTTTCACAAGGTCCTAAATTCCAATGGCGTAGACAAACGATGTCTCACCACAATTGATTGATTCAAATAAAATGTTATGCATGTACAATTATGTTCAAATGGGAGTAGGAAGAGGAAAACTTATTCCTACCCCCACTCAATGCATAGTTAGTTTGTTTATTGCCTATTTGTTTATTGTTTAACATTTTATTTTCACAGGGTACTTCGTTGTGGTCTTTCAGTAAAAAAAACAAATAAAATTGTTATGGTCGTAATGACAGGATGAAAACTTTTGCGAGGCACTGTAAATGGAATGTAAATAATGTCATTTGTATAAGTGAAAAAAAATTGTATAAATAAACTGAACTTTATGTTTACATGTATTTACACCTAATTGCATTATATTAACGTTGAATTTTCATAATAGTTAAGCATTTTGGACAATATCACTGTATTGTCTATAAAGTGGCAAAAAAAGAGTAATTTCTTTAAAAATAAATAGTCCTGTTTTTTATATTGTGATGATACTGTATTGTGCTTGCCGTATGATTAGTCTAATATGTGAAAATGCTTTAGCACAATCCATTCTCTGTGTGTACATGAACAAGGATGAAGCTGAAAGAAACAATGAGAATAGGAACAGAGACAGGTGTCACAAGGTATTCATGAGTAAAGAGGGGAAGAGGAAACAAAGCAAAATCTGCACAAGGAGAGATGAGAGGTGGTAAACGGCAAGGAGGCGGCGCAAAACAGCTGGGGACCGAGGTTAAAAAACACACACACACAAACAAAAGCAGTACTCACCTCGCAGCCTCCAGCAGCTCATCCTTCTTGTATTCACCTAGACGGTTACAGAAGAGCATGGTGTCAGACAACTGGCCGCTTATGCACACCGACCACACACACACGCACATGATCGAACACAGTGCGCTGCTAACACGGTCCGCCTGCTCTCCCCTCAGCCATCTATCTGCCCGTGTCACGGCTGAAACGGCTTCAGCAAAGCTCTAAAGTCTGTCTCCTCTCCTGCCTCTCCATCCCTCCTTGCAGTGAGCGCGCCCCTCTGGCTCCGGTTGCCGTGACGATGCGTAGCCGGCAACGACCACAGCGCGCTCATTGTTTGGGCGACGGGAACATGCGCCGCTCTGTCTCTGAGAGCCGAGCAGCAGATCTGGTCTCTTCTCAAAAAATCTATAATTATAATTCTATAACTCCCCTTATGGGAAAGCACCTCGTATATGTTTATGTTTATATGGTTAAATAACAAAAGTATCAGTTTGTTTCAAGTCTTCCTTTTTGCTAGACTATGAAATAAACAAACCCCTCCCCCTTTGCTTTCTCTCCCTCAGCCTAGCCATCCCCCCTTACCCCCCTCACCCCCCTCACACTCTCATTGCCACAGCCACAGAACACCGTCACATATGTTGTTTTTTTGGGGTTTTTTCACAGAATAAGGAAAACAGAGAAGAGTCCTGACATATACAAGTAGTAGTTGTTGTTTTTAATCTATTTATTATTGCTATGGTAAGATGTTCGAATTGGATTGAAAATTAAATTCAGTTCAGCGGGTTATTTAAAACCATTGTGATGTCAAATTTACCTTTTTAGCCACCATAGCAGAATTGATTGCTCAACCAAGGACAATTTCTATACAGCTTCCCACAAATCCTTCCATACATTTCTTACATTAAAAAAATATACTTCGATGACTATGATTAACAACCTATCTCTTTCATTCATGGCCATTTCTGACAATGGAATGAAGCTATTGGTAAAACTGTTCACAGACAATGTCAATTTTTTCCAATGATTTTTGCAGGAAAATATGGCTCTTTATCAAAGTCAAGCATTGAAAGTATCCGTAAACAAAACGTTTCAGTTGATATAGCCAAACCTGGATAATTGAACAAATTAGCATCTATAGTGACCGTGTGGATTCATCCCAATGCCTGGCAGCAGGAGAATTTTCCAAGTACCACCAGATCTAAACCAGATATAAAACTGGACAATGTAACTGGTTCTGAGAAACTGAGAATAGAATCAGTCCAATGCTATAGATTTTATCCTATGGGTGTATGTGTTTATGGGGCTGAAAATCTCTGGGTGATTATCAAAACATGTCCATTCTTAAGTTGTGTTTATTGCTCATTGTGGTTCTTTTGTGTATTTACTGATTGCATGATCAAATAATTACAATTAAAGGAAACAGTTTTGATTGGAATTGTAAAAACTGGAAAAGACATAGCAGTTTATTGATGTATTTTGAATGTATTTCAATTGTTTTTTGAGTTCCATAAGAAAGACATTATGTGGTTATTTTCCCAAGAGAATAAGCTTTAAAATGAGGTATAGCATACCACCAATACTTTATTTTGAGCCATAATAATAAAACTTTCTCCATATAGCCAGCAGTGTGCCCACACACTTGGGCAACAAATACACAGTGAAGAACAATACAAAACAAAAAGGTGTAACAACTTATATTACACATTTAAAGGTGATGTCTGCAACTTCATTTGTATTGTTAGTGTCTAACAAGAAGGGCTGTGGTGATGACCCACGGTACTTTAATATTCTACTGAGTGGATAGCACTCTCGCCTCTCAGCAAGAAGGTCCTGGGTTCGAATCCCCGTCGGACCAGGGCCTTTCTGAGTGGAGTTTGCATGTTCTCCCCGTGTCTGCGTAGGTTTCCTCCGGGTACTCAGGTTTCCCCTACCACTAAAAATATGTAAAATTGGTCTGGCATGCGCCTCCTGTTCGGCGACCCCGCTCCCATCTCTGTGTGGAGTGAGAGAATAATGCCCAAAAAATAACAATTGTAAACCGCTTTGTGACTCTGGTCTGTGAAAGGCGGTATATAAATAAAGATTACTTACTTACTTGCCTTGCCTACTTACTTACTACATGGATGGACATTTATCAACATTCATGGACATTGGTCCAATACATACAGTATGTGTTTTATATATTTTGTTGATTCTCTGATCTGTGTTGGTGATTTCAATGTTTTGTTGAGTCCTCTGAGATGACTGCTGTCGTGATTTAAGGCTATACAAGAATAAAATGCATTGTATTGTATTTCCTCTTGATTTTTTTTTAAACACACTTTTTTTTAAATCAATGTAATTAATACAGTCACAAAGGTTTCAATCACAATTTAAAAAGTAACTGGCACGGTGGCTGAGTGGTTAGCACTCTAGCCTCTCAGCAAGATCCCGGTCGGAACAGGGCCTTTCTGAGTGGAGTTTACATGTTCTCCCCGTGTCCGCAAAGGTTTCCTCTGGGTTCTCCGGTTTCCCCTACCACTCAAAACATGCAAAATAGTTCTGGAATGCGCCTCCTGTACTGGCGACCCCGCTCTCTGCCCACAATTGTAAAGCGCTTTGTGACCCTAGTCTGAAAGGCACTATATCAGGGGTGCTCAATACGTCGATCGCGATCTACCAGTCGATCGCAAAGGTAGTATTGGTAGATCGCATTAAATAAAAACTAAATTACACATTCTAAACGAATATATACAAAAAACTCCGGGCAAAGTGGAGATTTTTGAAAACTCTGTTAATGCATTTGTGTGTAGACAGAGATAACCAGAGTTTTGCGTTCTCGCACGCCACAGTACCCCCCTAAATTCCTCTGATCACTGAAGCATGGATCATACTACCTTAAAAATTGTCCGCTGTGAGATGCTCGCAGCAGCGAACATCCTCCACATCAGAGAGCAGCAAAGTGATCGCGGGGACTCACGCTCGAAAACAACCAAACCAGGACTAAACCAGGACTAAACCAGGACTAAACCAGGGCTGAGGACGGGGTCAGTGCTTGTAAACATACGTCTTTACTCTGAGTGTCTTCTATGACTGTAAAAGTGCCGTTACCGGCGTCTGCATCAGAACTCCGCCCACTTCTGTGTTTTTCCCCAACGCAGGACAGGACGTAAGAGACGCACATGTTTGGAATGTTACAAACGTGACTGATAACGCAGATGTGTGGATGCAAATTATTTTATAAACGGAGGAGGGGAAATATTTGGATTTAAAAAAAACAGGCATGGCACATGGACATGGCACCACAGTCAAATGACATCTGTGTTTTACTCAGTAATGTTTTACTGACACTTAGGTGACTGCACATGCGCAAACAACCGCGCTCAGTGCAGGAAAGCTAAACCACGACAAACTTGTCAGCGAGTTACCACCAATTTTCCGGACTATGCATCCCTGGCCGATTCAATTCAGTGAAAGTCATCAGAGTAAACTCGGGTAATGACAAAAAATGTACATAGGTAATTGTGTTGTGTTGTGCTATATTGGCTCATGCTGTTTTGCATGTACATAAACATACATTGTAGATATAAAGAATATTTTTTGAAATATATGATTTGCATTTTTGTAGTAGGTAGATCATTTTGACTTGATCCTTTTATAAGTAGCTCGCATGCTGAAAAAGTGTGAGCACCCCTGCACTATATCAATAAAGATTACTACTAGATTACAATAGGACCAAAAAGACCCTTGGGGATACCATATTGAAAACTGATCGTGGGCAAATTTGTTGTAATACCAATACAACATTTTCACTGTATGTTTAATTGCGGTCGGCCTCACCAAACACCAAACTTGTGGACTATAATACTTGTACTGGATTTGAATTATAAAATGCTTTTCTTTTGTTATGTTGTTATAATTAATGATACAAATGTAAGTATTTTGTGGATTCTAAGCCTGTCACTCCTTACAGTCATTTACTCGTCACTTTACCTGCTGAAATTATTACCATTGTTTATTCTGATCATATTCTCTGCTGGTAAAGTACAATATCCACATCTGCTAAAAGCTCTGAACCAAGTGCAAGTATAGCTCCAGAGTTTAATTTTGTTTTGTTTTTTTCATTGTATTATATTTTACCATCTTATTACTTATTCATTTATTATTTTAATTGTATAATCTATAAGCTGCTGTGACCGAAAGTGCTGTTGCATTTTAATACTATTGTTAGCTATTTTCTAAATTATTTTTATTTTGTTTTGTTTGTAGGTTGCATGTGTTTCTGCTGCTGCTTAACAACAGAATTTCTCCTACGGGGGATCAATAAAGTATCTATCTACCTATGCATCCTTCTTATTTCCCTTTTTTTCTCTGCTGTGTGCAATGTACAGGTGTAAACATACTGCTGCTAACATGTACAGATGCTAACGTATAACTACACTTTGCTTGCACTAGAATACACAGTACTTTATACTTGTCTCTTATTTAAACTTTTACACCTCTTTTTTTATTGTTTTCAAGATCGAGATTTTATGCTTGTATTGATGCTAGAGTTAGAGATTTTTGTTTTATTTTTATTACGAACGACGAATAAAGGATCTCTTAATCTTATCTTACCTAAACCTTAGTAGTGTATAAAGATATGCAATTAATTATGAGGTTCTTGTCAACACTCAAGTAAAGTACTGAACCTTTAAACATAAAAAATCTAAAAGACAAAGAAGTACACAAAGGTAGATATTAAAAACGGGAAGTAAAACATAAGACATAATGGAAGACTGATGGCCGCAGAGGGGGGAGCAGCGCAAAAGAACGCTACAGCCGGAGAGGGGGGAAGGAAGGCGGAACAAAGGATCTGAAGATGAAAAGAGAGAAAGGATGATTAGGGATCTGCAAACTGACATGCATGGATTTGACACAGAGTAATTGGTGTTAGGGAGGCTGTGGCGGAAACAGGAGGAAGAGAAGAAGGACTGGAGAGTCAAACAAAATGCAGCGTATTGTTCGTGTTGTCAAAATAGTAGAACCTCAATAGTTCCCCACGTGATTCATTTTTATTATTTACTCACTGCAGAA